GCAGGGGGTGTGTGAGAGGGGGGTGGGACGGTCGGGGGAGGTTGAGCGGAGGCTGCCGTCTTGTCGTCAGCAGCACCTGTAGTCCGGGGCGCTGTTCCGGTAGCCCAGTCGTAGCCAGCTGCGCCAGTCGCCCGTGGGTCCGTTGCTCGTCTGCCGCACTTAGCCGCGGAGCCAGTTACTCCTGTAGTCCGGGGCGCTGTTCCGGTAGCCACTGTGCCAGTGTGACTCCTGTTGCCCGTGTGTCTGCAGCTTCAGCCGTCGCCTCTTATCTCCTCTCCTCCTACAGTCTCGACTCCTCTTCCTCACTTGCCCTTTTGTGAATGCCTCTAGCTTTGCTTGCACTTGTGAACCTGCTCTATGACTGCTTGCTCTGCTGATTATACCCCACTTTGACTATGGGGGTGTGTCAGAATGTTGTATTTGTCTAGCCTGCAGTGGGGTACTCTATAGCGAGTACAGCCCAATCTAGGGTTTCCTATATGTACTCAACTGCTTGCTAGTGCATCCCTCCTCTTTTGCCTAAACTTTCTCTTGCCTAGCTAGGGTTCTCCTAGCTATGGCTCCTCATCGTGCCTATTATTCTAACAGATACCCCATCCCCCGCGCTGACAAACTGATATACTAATTGCGAACAGCCCGCGCGTTTTCGAAGATAGACTTTCAGAGAGGTTACCACCAGATTAGGGTCGAATTGTCAGACTGCGCCAAGACAGCCTTTAGAACTAGATACGGATTGTTCGAGTACACATTGATGCCCTTCAGGCTGACCAACGCACCGGCGACATTCCAAATGACCATGAATGAGGTGCTTAGGCCACTTTTAGATAAGTGCATGACAGTTTACCTCGGCGATATCCTGTTCTACAGCCGCGACAAGCAGCAGCACTTAGCGGATTTAGAAGCAGCTTTTAAAATTTTAGACGAAAACCGCCTACCGACCAAGGATTCAAAGTGTGAGTTTTTTCAGGACCGGTTAGAATTTTTGGGGCACGTTGTTTCGGAGGCTGGAGTCGAGATTGACCCGAAGAAGTTAGACACTGTAAAAGTGTACTGCCCCTCCGACCATCATCACAGAATTACAGAGATTTTTAGGATTCGTTAATTACGTCCGTCGTTCGTCCCCGACATGGCGCGCTTAACAACCCCACTAGTGGACTTACTGCAGAAGGGAGTGGCGTTTACGTGGGGGGAGAAAGAGCATGCTGCCTTCTTTTCCCTGAAAACTGCTCTCTGCTTATCGCCCGTACTGAGCATTGCTGACCCACACCGCCCATTCGAAGTAGTTACCGACGCAAGCGACATCGCAATCGAAGCTGTACTGCTACAGAACTTCGGCAATGGCCTACAACCCATCGCATACGAGTCATGAAAACTGCACCCGCCCGAGAAAAATTACCCGATACACGACCGCGAAATGCTCGCGATCGTGCACGTATTCAAGGTGTGGCGCTGTTACTTGACTGGCGCAGACGTGTCAGTACAGATAGACCATAAATTACTACAACCTCCACGCACATCCCACCTCAACCCACAACAGGTCTGCTGGCTCGACTTCCTCGAGTCAAATTTTCACTATACAGTCACCTACAAAAAGGGGGCATTGAACACACAGACCTGCCTCACTTCCCAAATCCACGCCATACTACTCACCAAGACCAGCCTACTGCTCACATGACTATTTACCCACGGCTATCAGACAGACCCGTTCTTCACTGGAGGACGCAGCAGTTCGCAACAGTAAAAGGGGTTTATTACGTAAAAGCCGGTACTGATCGCATCTGGGAACCAGGCTACACTTTACTACGGGAGTTACTGCTACAGGAGGGACACGACGGAGTTACCTCAGGCCACTTCGGAGTAGAGAAGACACGGCAGTAGCTGCAGCGGTATTACTACTGGCCCGAAATGCCGACCGACGTAAAACGACACGTGGCATCGTGTCCCACATGCCAGCTCATGAAATCATCACGGAAGCGGCCAGCAGGGCAATCGTAGCCGATACCACCCCCAGTACGTGCTTGGCAGCAGGTGACGATGGACTTCGTCACGGGGTTACCGGCTGGCGCAAGTGGGAATGATGCGATCCTGGTCGTCGTCGATCAGCTGACGAAGATGGCACGTTTCGCATCATGCAAGCAGTCAATCTCAACCGAAGTAACAACTCAACTTTTCATCTCGACCGTCGTTCGATTACACGGGATACCAGCAGCAAACATCAGCGATCGCGATACGAAATTCACCAGCAACTTCTGGCGGAACCTGTGGCAGCAGTTCGGCACAAGACTACAGTTCAACTCATCGTAACACCCCGAAACTGACGGACAGACGAAAGGGACAAACCAGACCATGGAATAGTTAATCCGAGCAACGTGCGACGACCCAACCACGTGGGAACAGCAACTGCCACTCATCGAATTCGCGTACAACAATTCCCCATTGGCCACGACCCAACAGTTGCCATTCTACTTGAACTACCGACAAGACCCCACAGTACCCATGACCCCGAATCCCGACAACCCGGTACCAAGAGCGCAACAGTTTGCAGAAATTTTGCAGGCAGCACGAACCTGAGCAGCAGACGCAATAAAAAAAATCGAACATCATGGCTAAACGCAATGCCGACCACCACCGCCGCCCCGTCACTTACCAGCCCGACGACCTTGTCCTACTCGATACCCAGAACTTCCGCCTGCCCGTCACCCCAAAACATCGCCCCCGATATTGCGGGCCATTTCGCATCAGCCACATGACCACCCCTGGCACCGCCCATCTCCTCCTCCGTGCTGAATGGTACGTCAGCCCGTGATTCCACGTGTGCCTGCTTCGCCCATACGTCCCATCCACCAGCCAATTGCCTCGCAACCGCCCAGCCGGCATGACACGACCGCCCACAGAGCCAATTATGACGCCTGAGATCTTGAGCCACCGAGTTCGTGTCCAACGTGGAGCCCGCAGGATCGAGTTCTTGACCCGGTGGAAAGACCGCATGCCCACCGAAGACAACTGGGTACCCCTGGACAGAATTGAAAACCACCCTATCCTCACTGAATATCTGCGCAGCCGAAGTTTCCGGGATGTACACGCAATCTCGTAAGGAGGGCCTCCGTAAGAGGTGGGGGGGGAAGGAAAATTAATTTTCCTTACTTTGCACCCCTGCTTAAGCGCGTACACTACTGTTCCCACCACACTGTGCACCATTACCACTCGCGACACTCGCCTCGACCACATTCCTGCCACTAAACCCGGCGCAACCCGACCGCACGGCTCGGCTGGTAACTCGCACTCCGGGCGTCCGCTTCGACATTTCCCAACCCCAGTCCCAACCTTAGTCACAGGCCCGTTGCGCATCTCCCACAGCTCGTTACCGTTACCACTGCGGATTTCGTGATATACCTCTCACTCATGCCTTCGCTCAATGTATTGTTTTGCCTCGATAGTGCAATTCTCTCTCGCTCGCTCAATTGCACTCGTAACACTGATCAAGCATAGTCAACCTGCACTTACCTAAACCCGTGTTCACTCTAAAACGGGTTTGTTTCTTCTCATCCATCTCGCACTCCCAGTTACCGCCAACGCGACACAAAGCCAGACCTCAGGACGCGGCACCTGTTTGCTTTTTGCAGGATCGATCGCAGGATCGCTAATTTCACCGCACTCAAATCTTCTGAAAGCATTTAAAACTCTCAAAAAAGCTCTTAACTCTGCAAAAATTCGATCCTGCGCAGGATCGATCGCAGGGTCGGTAAAACAGGTGCCGTGTCCTCAAGCTCCCCGTGGCACCACACGAGATTGATCTCATCGATTTTCGCCAACGCCGTCGCCGCCACACGTGCATGACCACCGCTGCCCATCTTTCGCATTATTCTCACGCCGTCGCCCAGCCGTCGCACGCGGTTGCCCAAGCTTCGCACGTCGTCGCCCTCGCACGCCGCTCGCCGAACCTTCGCACGCGGTCGCCTCGTCCGCCGTTCACATTGCACATCCACCTCCCCTCCGTCTGCCTGTCACACACACACTGCGACCGATTCGGTCGCACGCGATGGTCGCAGACGACACCCCTGCGACGCTGTTCGGCGTGTCCGTGCCGCTTCTCACCTTCCTCGCGTGCCTCTTCTCCTCCATCCCCGCCGCTGCGCTCGTGCCGCTCCTCCCCTCCCCCTCCACACGCCACCTGTACAACGTCGCCGTCGGCGCTGCCACGTGTTGGTTTGCCTATGGCGGACTGAGAGGTGCGCATATTGGGGGAGAGTGGGGGGAGGAGAGGGGGAGGAGAGGGGAGGAGGGGGAGTGAAGTAGGGGAATGGCGGAGGAAGAACGGGGAGGAAGCGGTAGGAGGGTCCGCGGTTGTGGGAATGAGGATGATGGTAGCGGAGGGAAGAGGAGAGGAAAGGGTACGGTGTGGAGGGAGGAAGGAAGAGGAAATGGGGAAGAAAGGGATAGGAAGGAAAGAGAAGGATAGAGTCGGGAAAGGGGAAGAGAATGGGTGGCTTATGGGCAGTGGATGGCTTGGTGGGTGGGGATTGGAGGGGCGAAGGGGAGGAGCGAGGGTGGGTTAGTGCGGGTTGCAGGAGAGTGGGTGCATTGTGGAAGGGGCGTGGCAGCCATGAGCGCGGGTGGTGCCGTGCATGGCACGTCACACCTGGCACGTCACACCTGGCACGTCACACCTGGCACGTCACACCTGGCACGTCACACCTGGCACGTCACACCTGGCACGTCACGCCTGGAAGGGTGCCGCTTGGCAGGGCAGGGGGTGGCGAAGCAGACACGGTGTAGTTGAATGAAAGAAAACGCGAGGAGCAGGGAGAGGGGGGTGGCATCGTGTGGCGGTGTGTTGTGCTGTTGATGCCTGTCGTGGTGGGACCATGTGGTGTGACACGGATGGACAGCACAGTGCGAGGTCGCACCTTGTGTCCAAGTGAGTCAGAATGGTCTCGTGCTCGCTATGCAGCGAGTGTGGCCGTATGATGGCATGGCACACCCGCGCATCCCACGCGCCCATGCGCGCCCTGCCTACACCCTCCCATAACCCCTCTCCCCCCATCCGCCCATCCGCCATGCGAGCAGCGAGTGTGGCCATATGGGGCATCACTCTCGCCACCTACGCGGCCATGGCCGCCCTGCCTCGCCGCCTCTCCGGCTGCGTTGTCTTCCTCGCCGCCTTCGCCTTCCTCATCTTCTGGTCCGCCCGCCTCTTCCATCCCACGCCCCCTTCCCACGCTCCCCTCCCACACTCCCATCCCACGCTCCCCTCCCACGCTCCCCTCCCACGCTCCCCTCCCACACTCCCCTCCCTGTCCCACTTTGTGGCGCCCATTTGCATGTTTTCCATCGTCTCACACCTCTGCTTTGTCTCACACCCCGCACTCCCCACGTCTCTGCTGCGCCCATCCGTCCTACCTCCCTCCTTCTCCTCCTCTGCAGCCTCATTCCACTCCGTAACCTCCCCACACCCTATCCATTCACTGGCTCTCTCACTCGCACCTCTCTTCCCTGAACCCCATGCCTCACCATGCCTCCGTTCCGCCCGTACCATTCCTTCCATACCCATACCCCCCCCCCCATGCCCCCACATGCTCCCCCATGGCCCCCCATGCCCCCATGCCTGGTCCCATCAGCCATGCAACGAGCCTAGACGCGAGTGCGTGGAGGAGGGGAGACATCGACTTCACAGGCACGCTCATGATTGTCACCCTCAAGCTTGTGGGGGCCGCTATGGACTGCCAGGACGGCAGCCAGCAGCCGGACGGCAGGGAGCAGGATGGCAAGCCGCCAGTAAGTGACATCTGAGGGACTTCACGGGTACGCTCATGATCGTCGCTTTCAAGCTCGTGGGGCCCGCAATGGACTGCCAGGACGGCAGCCAGCAGCGGGGCGGGAGGGAGCAGCAGGACAACAGGGGGCAGGACGGCAAGGGGCAGCAGGGTGGCAGCATGGTGCAGAAGGACGGAAGGCCGGCAGGGGGTGCCTTTTGGATGATTGATGCTCGTGCTGATGCCATGCTGACATGGCATGGCATGGAATGTTGGTTCACACACACACAGGTGCAATGGCAATCAGGCACAGGCAGCAGCGCGCTCAGACCTCGTATGCTTTGTCACACTGCCATGCTACCAGCAATCTCATCCGCATATTTACCTTTTTTTTTTTTCATAAACTCCTCCATCACTTCGCAAGCCCGCTGCGGCACCATCCACTCCTCGTGTGTGCTCTGCCCTTCCCATTCGCACGACCTCTGCCTCCCGCTCATGCACAAACCCACACGCTCTGCTTTCTCCCCACCCCATCAACGCCTCTCCTCCCTCTCCCCCTCATCCTTTCTCCCACTTTTTACTCCCCACCCGTCCCTCCCCTCCAACCCTCATCCTCCCCCCCCCCCCCCCCCTGCCTCCTCGTCTCCTTCCCCCCTTTCCCCCCTTCCGCCCCATCCCCCAGCGCGCCAGCAGCGCGTCCCCCAGCGCGCTCCCCCGTGTGCCCCCCCTGTTGCCATTCCTGGGGTTCGTCTTCTTCCCTGCCGCCCTGCTCGTGGGGCCGCCCTTCCCCTTGGCTGCTTACCACGACTACATTGAGGGACAAGGGGTGAGGAGTGTGGGACGGGTGGTGGGGATGAGAGGAGGAGAGGGGTGGGATGGGTGGGAGGGGCGCGAGGGGTGGGAGGGGTGGAGAGTCACCTCTGCCCTGCTCGTGGGGCCTCCCTTCCCCTTGGCTGCTTACCAAGAGTACGTTGAGGCGGGGGGTGAGGAGGTGGGGGGTGGTAGGAAGGGTGGGCGAGGTGTGAGGGGAGGGGTCAGAGGGATGCGACAGATGTGAGGGCTTCCTCTCCCGTGTGACCCCTTTCCCCTCGCTGCTTACCAAGAGTATGTTGAAGGGAAAGTGGTGTGTGTGAGAGGGGTGGTGTGGATGAATGGAGGACTGGTTGAGGAGGGGGGAGGAGTGGGACGGGTGAGCGAATGTGTGTGGATCACCCGCGCTGTTTCTTCACAACATGCTTTACCATGACACGCTCTAAGTCGATTTTTGAGTCGACTCAAAAATCGCTTTACCATGACACTCTCTCACATCACAACACTGTGCCCCCATTCCTCCTCCCCATCCATCCCCAATTCCCCCTTCCCGTTCCCCACTCTTTGTTCCTCCTCTCCATTCCTTATTCCGTTCTTTCCATCGCCCCTCACCCCTCTGCACACCCCACTACCAGTGCTGGGCCGCGCTCTAACCCCCACAACGATCCGTCCGCACCACCCTCCCCCACCTTCCCTCTGCGCCTGCTGCCAGCATGCCGTGCGCTGCTCAAGGCGCTGCTGTGCATGGCCGTGTACCACACCCTCTCCCTCCTCCTCCCGCCCTCCGCCCTCACCCAACCCGCCTTCTTCACCCGCCCCTTCCCCATCCGGTGAGCTGCCCTCTCCTCCGCGCTTGCTGTCAGCATGCCGTGCGCTGGTCAAGGCGCTGCTCTGCATGGCCCTTTACCACTCGCGCTCCCTCCTCCTCCCGCCCTCCGCCCTCACCCAACCCGCCTTCTTCACCCGCCCCTTCCTCATCCGGTGAGCTGTCTTCCCCCCTGCCTCTCTCCTCCCACTGCCCTCTCTCCTCCCACTGCCCTCTCTCCTCCATCCACCCACCATCCCTCTCCACTCACTGCCCCCTCTCCACCCATCACCTGCTCTCCACCCACCACCCTCTCACTCCACCCACGCTCTGCGCCAGAGCGCTCACGTCTCACCTCTCATGCCTTGCGCTTCTATCCCCCCCCCACTCTCTCTTTCTGTGCCCCTCCCTCCCATCCCACGTGCCGGCATGAACCCCTCCCACCGCGCCCATGGCAGGTAGGTGCACGAGGCATACCACTGCTGCTGGCCGACCGTTGGATATTCTATATCTGGGCCGTCTCTTGACGTTTTCAACAATCCCACACCCACCCTTCACACTGCGCAGGTGGGGGCAGGTGGCGATCACGTTCTTGGCATGCCGATGGATGCTTTACTTCATCTGGGCTGTCTGTTAACATGCACAAATATCCTCCCTGTGCACATCTGTGGGGGACAGGTGGCGCTGATGCTCATCTGGGCCGCCTGTTAACATTCTCAACACCCCCACCCACCGTACGGATGGCAGGGCGGGGCAGGTGGCGTTAACCCTCTTTGCCTATCGCTGGATGTTCTACTTCATCTGGGCTGTAGCTGAATCCGCCCTCATTCTCTCCGCCTTTGGCTTCTCGGGCTTTAAGCCTGCTGAGACAGGCCACGGGGCAGGCAAGGATGGGGAGGGGAGGGACGGAGAAGGCGGGCAGAGGCAGCAGCAGCAGCAGCGGCTGGAAGCAGACTGGTTAGTCGGTTTCGCGCTGGCTTGAAGTGGATGCCAGCGGGACATGGGATGGCATGGCACGGCATGGCATGGCACGGCATGGCATGGCACGGCACGGCATGGCATGGCACGGCATGGCATGGCACGGCACGGCATGGCATGGCACGGCATGGCATGGCATGGCATGGCATGGCATGGCATGGCACGGCACGGCACGGCATGGCATGGCATGGCATGGCATGGCACGGCATGGCATGGCACGGCATGGCATGGCACGGCATGGCATGGCATGGCATGGCAAGGCATGGCATGGCATGGCATGGCATGGCACGGCACGGCATGGCATGGCATGGCACGGCATGGCATGGCCTGGCCTGGGATGGCATGGCATGGCATGGCACGGCATGGCATGGCATGGCATGGCATGGCATGGCATGGCACGGCATGGCATGGCATGGCATGGCATGGCATGGCATGGCATGGCACGGCATGGCATGGCACGGCATGGCATGGCATGGCATGGCATGGCATGGCATGGCATGGCATGGCATGGCCTGGCATGGCATGGCATGGCACGGCATGGCATGGCATGGCATGGCATGGCATGGCATGGCATGGCATGGCATGAAACAACCTGTTTGTGGCTTTTCTTTCTCGGCCGGTCGTCTGCACTCCACGACCCCCTCTCTGCTGCCTCTCTCAGGATTTCCCTACTGCCCGCACCCCCCTAAGTGCTCCCTCTCCTCCTTTCTTTCCATGTGCCCCGTGTTCCCACGCGTGCTTGCCCCCCCTCCCCCGCACTGTTTCCATGTGCCCTGTGTTTTCCTCACTGTGCACCCTCACAGGAGCAGGGCGAGCAACGTGAACATGTGGGTGGTGGAGGTAACGGGCAGTGGAGCGCAGCTGCCATCGCACTGGAACATCGGAGTCAGCAACTGGCTGCGCACCTGTGCGTCCCCCACTCGCCCCCCTCCCCTCCCTGCCCTGCCCTGCCCTGCCCTCACCTCCCCTCCCCTCCCCTCTCCTCCCCTCCCTCCCCTCTCCTCCCCTCCCCTCCCCTCCACTCCCCTCCCCTCCCCTCTCCTCCCCTCCCCTCCCCTCCACTCCCCTCCCCTCCCCTCCCCTCCCCTCCCCTCCCCTCCCCTCCCCTCCCCTCCCCTCCCCTCCCCTCCCCTCCCCTCCCCTCCCCTCCCCTCCCCTCCCCTCCCCTCCTCTCCACTCCCCTCCCCTCCCCTCCCCTCCCCTCCCCTCCCCTCCCCTCCCCTCCCCTCCCCTCCCCTCCCCTCCCCTCCCCTCCCCTCCCCTCCCCTCCCCTCCCCTCCCCTCCCCTCCTCCCCCACTCTCCCCTCCCCTCCCCTCCCCTCCCCTCCCCTCCCCTCCCCTCCCCTCCCCTCCCCTCCCCTCCCCTCCCCTCCCCTCCCCTCCCCTCCCCTCCCCTCCCCTCCCCTCCCCTCCCCTCCCCTCCTCTCCCCTCCCCTCGCCTTCCCTCCCCTCCCCTCCCCTCCCCTCCCCTCCCCTCCCCTCCCCTCCCCTCCCCTCCCCTCCCCTCGCCTTCCCTCTCCCCTCCCCACCCCGCCTTGATTCTCGCGCGCTACCAGTCCGTGCACCGCTGTAGCATATAGTGCAGTGAGCAGCCGAAAGTGTCAGAATGTTATTGTCTAGCCTGCACTTGGGTGCTCAATAGTGAGTACAACACCTTAGGGTTTCCTATTTGTACCAACCTGCTTGCTAGTTCAATCATCCTCCATCATTCTCATTTTTCTTCTTCAATTCTCCTTCGTATACCCTAAACCCTAGTTCTAGGGCACACCCTACCTACTCTATGTGTGGGCCTAGGCTACTAAGCCTAGGCCCCACTCCTAGTGATTCTGACATGGTATCTAGAGCGAGCATGATCCTGCCGCCTAGCTCAACGGGCCCACCAACTGCTTCCGCTGCCGTACTTTCCGCCGCGCGCTCCGTGGCGCGCTCGGGGCTCGCGGCGGCTTCACCGTCCGTCGAGGCGCCCTCCGGGGGGGCCTGCCCGCTGCTCCCCCCCCCGTCGCTCGTCGCGGCGCCTTCAGGGGGCCCGCCCGCTACTCCTCCCCGTCGCTCGTCGCGGCGCCTTCAGGGGGCCCGCCCGCTACTCCTCCCCGTCACTCGTCGCGGCGCCTTCAGGGGGCCCGCCCGCTGCTCCCACAGTCGCCTGTCGCTCGCGCCGCCGCCCCCCCTGCAGCTCGCGACGCCGCCCCCACAGCAGCTCGCGACGCCGCCCCTGCAACAGCGCGCGAGCCGCCCCTGCGCCAGCGCGCGAGCAGCCCCTGCGCTCGCGACGCCGCCCCTGCAGCGGCGTGTGTACCACCCCTGCGCCAGTGACCCGCCCCTGGAGCAGCCGCCCCTGGAGCAGCCCGCGTCGCCGCCCCTGCAGCAGTGCGCCAGCCGCCCCTGCAGCAGCGCGTGTGCCGCCCCTGCGCCAGCGACCCGCCCCTGGAGCAGCCGCCTCTGGTGCAGCCGCCCCTGGCCCCTGCGACGCCGCCCCTGCAGCAGCCGCCCCTGGAGCCGCCCACCACTGCAGCAGCCGCCCCTGGAGTCGCCCGCCACAGCAGCAGCCGCCCCTGGAGCCGCTCGCCACTGCAGCAGCCGCCCCTGGAGTCGCCCGCCACTGCAGCAGCCGCCCCTGGAGCCGCTCGCCACTGCAGCAGCCGCCCCTGGAGTCGCCCGCCACAGCAGCAGCCGCCCCTGGAGCCGCCCGCCACTGCAGCAGCCGCCCCTGGAGCCGCCCGCCACTGCAGCAGCCGCCCCTGGAGTCGCCCGCCACTGCAGCAGCCGCCCCTGGAGTCGCCCGCCACAGCAGCAGCCGCCACTGGAGCCGCCCGCCACTGCAGCAGCCTCCCCTGGAGTCGCCCGCCTCTGCAGCAGCCGCCTCTGGAGCAGCCGCCCCTGGTGCAGCCGCCCCTGTACCCGCGACGCCGCCCGTGGAGCAGCCGCCCCTGGTGCAGCCGCCCCTGGACCTGCGCCGCCGCCCCTGGAGCAACCGCACCAGCAGCAGCCGACCATGCAGCTGCCCGCGACGCCGCTCCTGGACCCTGTGCAGTCGCGCTCAGTCTTGCCCGCGCCCTCGTGCGCTCTACCCTACCTGCTCCGCGCTGTTGCTCTGCACGCGCGGTTGCCCGCGCCCTCGTGCGCTCTACCCTACCTGCTCCGCGCTGTTGCTCTGCACGCGCGGTTGCCCGCGCCCTCGTGCGCTCTACCCTACCTGCTCCGCGCTGTTGCTCTGCACGCGCGGTTGCCCGCGCCCTCGTGCGCTCTACCCTACCTGCTCCGCGCTGTTGCTCTGCACGCGCGGTTGCCCGCGCCCTCGTGCGCCCTACCCTACCTGCTCCGCGCTGTTGCTCTGCACGCGCGGTTGCCCGCGCCCTCGTGCGCTCTACCCTACCTGCTCCGCGCTGTTGCTCTGCACGCGCGGTTGCCCGCGCCCTCGTGCGCCCTACCCTACCTGCTCCGCGCTGTTGCTCTGCACGCGCGGTTGCCCGCGCCCTCGTGCGCTCTACCCTACCTGCTCCGCGCTGTTGCTCTGCACGCGCGGTTGCCCGCGCCCTCGTGCGCTCTACCCTACCTGCTCCGCGCTGTTGCTCTGCACGCGCGGTTGCCTGCGCCCTCGTGCGCTCTCCCGCCCCGGCCCTCCCCCCCCCCCCCCCCCCCCCTGCGTCCCCTGGACAGGAGGGTGTGGGGGTGGCGGGTGTGGGGGTGCTCCTTGTGCGTCGCCCCTACCTTCTCCTCCGTCTCCCACTGCTGCAGCTGCCGCTGCGGGGGGGTGGATGTGTGGGAGACGAGGGAGTGGCGCTAGGGGGGTGATGTGGGAGTGGAGCTAGAGGTGACACTGGGGGTGTGTGTAGGGGGGTGTGGGACAGCTGGAGGAGGTTGCAGCACCTGTTGCCCGTGTGTCTGCAGCTTCAGTCGTCGTCTCCAATCTTCTCTCCCTTCACAGTTCCTCCTCCTCCTCACTTGCCCGCTGTGATAGCCTCTAGCTTTGCTCATATTTGTGAACTATTGCACTGCCTGCTCATTGTGCTGATTGCACCCCACTTTGGCTATGGGGGTGTGTCAGAATGTTATTGTCTAGCCTGCAGTGGGGTGCTCAATAGTGAGTACAACCCCTTAGGGTTTCCTATTTGTACCAACCTGCTTGCTAGTTCAATCATCCTCCATCATTCTCATTTTTCTTCTTCAATTCTCCTTCGTATACCCTAAACCCTAGTTCTAGGGCACACCCTACCTACTCTATGTGTGGGCCTAGGCTACTAAGCCTAGGCCCCACTCCTAGTGATTCTGACAGAAAGGCCCGTGCATAGGGGGCATGTGTGCATAGGGGGCATGTGTGCATAGGGGGCATGTGTGCATAGGGGGCATGTGTGCACTCAGTCACGTTAGACATTCTATCAGGGCCCTTTTTCTCCGCCCATGCATGCAATGCAAACTGCTGACTCGTTTCCATACCCGCATGCAACTGCATCGGGGTATGTATGTATGTGTGTGCATGGATGCATGTGTACATGCGTGCATGTGCATGTGCATGTGTATGTGCATGTGTATGTGTGCATGTGTGCATGTGTGCATGTGTGCATGTGTGCATGTGTGCATGTGTGCATGTGTGCATGTGCATGTGCATGTGCATGTGTATGTGTGCATGTGTGCATGTGTGCATGTGTGCATGTGTGCATGTGCATGTGCATGTGCATGTGCATGTGCATGTGTATGTGCATGTGTATGTGTGCATGTGTGCATGTGTGCATGTGTGCATGTGTGCATGTGTGCATGTGTGCATGTGCATGTGCATGTGCATGTGCATGTGTATGTGCATGTGCATGTGCATGTGCATGTGTGTGTGTGTGCATGTGTGCATGTGTGCATGTGCATGTGTGCATGTGTGCATGTGCATGTGTGCATGTGTGCATGCAGATGTGTATGACCGCATGACCCCCCCATCAGGGAAGCCCACCCTCACAACACTCCTTGTGACACAGGCTGTCAGTGCACTGTGGCATGTGAGTCATGGCATGTGGCATGTGAGTCATGGCATGTGGCATGTGAGTCATGGCATGTGGCTTGTGAGTCATGGCATGTGGCATGTGAGTCATGGCATGTGGCTTGTGAGACTTGATTGATGGGTAGTGAATGGATGGGATGCGTATGGGATGCATGCGTATGGCATATGAGGATTTGGTGATGCTTCCATCCATCCATCCATCCATCCATCCATCCATCCATCCATCCATCCATCCATCCATCCATCCATCCATCCATCCATCCATCCATCCATCCATCCATCCATCCATCCATCCATCCATCCATCCATCCATCCATCCATCCATCCATCCATCCATCCATCCATCCATCCATCCATCCATCCATCCATCCATCCACCCATCCATCCATTCAACTGTCCAACTAGTTTCCCAAATCTGTTCCCAAATCTCTCTCCCTTCCCTTACCTTTTTCTCCATCCCTTCCCATTTGTTATGTGCCCTCTTTTGTGCATGGGTTTGCATGTGCATGTATGTATGCATGCATGTTGATGTGTGTCTGTATGTTGATGCATGTACGTCAATGCATGCCAACGTATGCATGTATGCATGTATATTGATGTATGTACATTGATGGATGTGTATGCCTGCCCATGTATGCATGTGTGCATGGATGCATGCACACACAAACCGCATGGCCTGTCGCTTGGCGCCATGCCATGCATGTGGAGCCATGCCATGCCATGCCATGTGTGCCCATGAGCAACAGGGCCTACATCCTGGTTACTACCTCTTCTTCCTCTCTGCTGCCATCGCTCAAGACGCCTCTAAATGTAAGCCCCTGCCCGCCCTGCTCCCTGTCCCACTGCCTCTGTCCACGCCTTGCATCCACACCTTGTGCTCCACATTCCTTCTGCCCCCTATTTCGCCACCCTCTCCCTTCACACCTCCCACCCACCACCCCTTGCTGCCTGCACTGCTGCTCCACCTGCACGCCACCAGCCCCCTCCCTCCTGCACACCACTCCTCTCAAGCAGTCCTCTGCTCATTCTTCTGCCCACTCGCCCCTCCCAACCCTCCTCCCTGCCCCTCGCCTCCAATTTCCTCTGTGTGAGCGTGCAGTGCTGCACCGCCTGCACCAGTCCATCCCACCTCACAGGCGGTGGCAGCGTGGCATGGCATGGGTGGCGCAGATGCTGTACACGCGCATGCTCGTGGGGTACGCTCCACTGGGCTTCATTGTGAGTGCTGCCATTCCGTGTGCTGGCATCGTCTCATGCGCTTTTCACGTTGTGCTAGGCACTGCTGGACACACATGTGCGGCCCGCTCGGGAGCGTTGTGTGTGCTCATGGGGAGCTCGCCACCAGGCTTCAACGGGAGTGCCTCCAAATGCGGCCCCGCTAGATTCATTGCGAGTGCTGTGCTGCTAACACACTGTGACAGTTCTAGTTCCATTGCAAGGCCTTAAGATTTCTTCTGAATGTGGGACGTGCATTAATTGTGAGTGCGGGCATGCTGGCTTGTTAAGCTCGCAGTCTGGCGTGTGCCTGCCTGGTGGGTGTGGTTGGTCAGGTGTAGGTGAGCCAGAAGCACCTCATGCATGCCTCCTTTATGCCGGCAGGTTTTTCATCCTCCTGCTTGCCCTGCCGTGCTGCAAGCTATGTCAAGGTGCCACCCATCCGTTAGGCTTGTCAGAGCCTAACTCCATTATAACCCCCTCTCCGGACGGATGGGGACCACCAGTACCACGTTCCAATCAACTCATCAGTCACAATGCAGCCAGTATCTGCCCTTCGCCCCTTCCTCTCTCTGTGTGTGTATGCAGCTACTGCGGGCGGACCTCACATTCACAGTGTGGCGCTCGCTCTATTTTTTTGGCTCCATCCTGCCGCTCCTGCTCTCCGCATTGCTGCCTCCACTCATTCCTCCATCCAACCGGCGAAAGAAAGAACAATAAAGGAACTCCTGCATGTGTTGTGAATCTACCTGCCCAGTGCAAGACAGTGATGCTCTCCTTGCGGGTTTCCACTTACCATCAGAGGGGATGACGGTAGCAGAGCAGCATGAGATGAGCCTGGTGCAATGCACCATACGTGTTCTCAACATACCTTTCCTGTCTGCAAGCGTTTAATGAAGCTCAATAAACACAGAGTGAGTTATTTCATAAAATGAATGGTGTGCAGTGCAGACTACAGCACAACTTTCATGAGTTTTCTGTTGTGGAGGATTGCATGTTCCAGCCTGATCTGCAGCGTTTGATTCAAATTCAATGTCCTTGAATATGAAAGCTACCAAGTAGCCAAGGTTACCTGGCTTGCCTCATTGGGGGTGAGTTGTGGTGTCAGATAATCAATGGCAAGAACGCCTCGTTTTCATTTCGGGGTGGAATGCAATGCCTTTAGCAGAGCGACAGTATATAATATACTCGGTTAGTGTTGATATATTCAAATCGTATCATTCCCAGTGGGCCATCGGGAATGTGGTCTCTCAGGTTGCTGCCGCCTCTTGCAGCTGACCTCCGCGAGGTCGCCCGCGGCTCTGGAAATTTTGGCGGCAGCTGAAATGCGAAGTTGCGATCGGATTGAATTCGCAGCCAGCCTCTCAGCTGGAGGAGGCTCTTTGCTTGGAGGGGCGTACAGTGGTGCCGAGGGTGCTCGGGTGCTCTGGTTGGCGAGGGAGACGGAGGCTCTGTTGAGCGAGTGAAGTGCCTCCCTCAAGTTACTGATGGGAGCCGCCCTGCTCACATGAGGCCGCAGCCTCCGATGACCCGATTGTTTCTGCCGGGATGGTGAAGTCATGAGTGAGCCATGCAAGAAAGCCGTGACTGATACGGTGCATATCGTGCCTTGGGACTGCCTCGCTGTAAAATGCATTCTGGAAGCGTCTTCTCCACGATGCCATGCTGGACAGGATGCGAAGCACGTACGTATTTACGGCTAGTCCAGTGCCGTAGATATTTTACGGAGTATACACGTGTTTCTGTTTGTAAAATCAACGACGTATCGAGCAAGAACTTGATCTTTCCTTCCCCCTTGCGCTCCCCGATCCGACACGCCATAAATCCCTGATGCACACTCGCGTTCCGAACCACATTCGTTCGGCAAGACGACGGGGCCAATGGGTTCTAGGCTATGGCGAAAAAGACTGCCGACGAGGAGAGATTATGGGTCCACGTGAGAGGAGATGCGACGTGTGCAGTCGAGCGTTTCTTGAAAAAGCCCGGTTTCCTATTTGCGAAGTTTCAAGACTGTGAATGTTTCTCAATTCTTCGAAACCGCAAGCGAGACTTCGTCCACCACCGATCTCTAAAGCAATGTTATTTAGAGTTTCGAAACCACTCCAGTTCCGTAAAACCTAATATTCACGCCCCTCTTTCTGACGGTTTCGGGTTGGTGCTGACAGAATCCGACGTTTGAGGCTCATACTGTACCAAACCGTACTACCCAAAATTGTCCTCTGACTGGACTTCGAAAGTACCCTGAACGGACTTACAACTTGCAATGTTTTTACTCAACACGAGGACACATTGTGTCGACAGGTTCTCTTACTATGGAAACACTTGTGCTCGAAGTGTACAGTACAAACAAAGCATGTACTTGTGACATACACTATCTCAGCGCATGTGCCCACCAACGCCATACAAAGCTTGTACTACCAACCCCGACACACAAACAGGTTACACGAGGAGCAAAGTATACACTATGTACATCCGCCCAAGTATGGAATAAAGCCCATACTACCCCAGTGCTCCTTATACTAGCGATTGAAGTTTGATGTAGTAATTTTTGTATTGGATTATTTTCATTAAATAATAACATAGCATCATAACTATGAGCAGCAAGCACTCTCACACAAGCAGGCCAGGAGGCTCTTCATCCTGGTACTGTACGACGATCGGTACTGGAACGCTACCTTCACTGCAAAGCACACAACGATAGCACATTAGTGACTATATTGCACAGATCCCCGTCGAATGTCACTCGAGGGGACACAATTTTGAATCGTGGCACCTTGTAATACGGCTATGAAGCCGCTTTCGCTTGCAAATAAAGAATCAGGGAAACCAATTTCCACATGTTGCACTATTCGAAGAGCACCGTGGAAATACCAACCTGCCAAGAAGAAGAACGAGTCTCGTCATGTGCTCGCCCGTAGATTTTGGAGCACAGTTGAAATACTAACCTGCCAGGAAGATTATAAAGCGTTCGGAAATTTTCGGCGACTAAACAATTGCCTGCAAAAAAAGGACATACAATCGCCAACTTAGTGTTACTTACTGGTAAAAAATACCCAACCACATTCCGCCTACAAGGCTTAGTATCCGCGGAAATCCGATCTTAGGCAAGCACGGGAAAAAAAACGAGAAAATCCACAAGGGAAGGTGACGAGATAGCTAGAGACAAGATGGCGGCGCGAAATATACGTAAGGAGCGACTAAAGAGTTGTTGGGAAAAACTAAACCGTAGAGTCCACGGAAGATAGCAGTGAGGAAACATTGACCTATGCTCTGCGGAGAAGCTGTAAGGAAAGACAGAGAAGGTAACAATGAAGGATGGATGAAGGGAAGAGTATTTGGTTGTGGGTGGAGCTCAATCAAGTTAGGTGGACGGGTGAGTTTTTTGTGAAATGCTGTGCCTCAACATGAACCAATCACATTGCACTTTCCCTTATCAGCTATTTCATCTCTTCATCCCAGCCCTCAATCGGAGTTTCCAATCGACGGTTGCTTTTCCAGCCAGCAAGACCTGCATGTTCTCTGGAGATAAGGCATCTGAGATCTCGACCATTCGATAAAAGCTGAATCGATGGCCGAAATTCCAACCTACAAGAATGTTGTTGAGCTGGAAACCGTTCAGATTCGTCTCATCAACGGCTGGGTTTCCAACCTGTGCGAAGTTATCCGATTCGACATAAGGTAACACATTCGATCTAGACAGTACAATAGTAATGATCGACGGTCCTGATTTTTCCGTGGACAGAAAATGCATTTTCGCGCTGTTCAAGTTCGAGTAGGTCGTTTCAGCACCTGTTCGTAACTATTTGTGTTGATTTGAATCTCGGAAACGATGATTTGATTGGCAATGTGATTGTCCGTGTCAGATTTTATCCTGCAAATTTTGGATGAAGCTGATTCGAAGTCTGCTATTGGTGGGATGATTGTAGGTTTGGAACACCACTGACAATGTAGGCCCGATCACTCTGGGTTCGTTCCACCGTGGAGTACAAACAAGGTAGACACTCTCAACACTGTACATTCTCCCGAGTCTATATTCTGGTAGGTTCGGCAAGCATGGTTCGTACCAGGTTGTTCGAATACAATGTGCTTTCACCCCACAGACAGTACACCTACAACGAACAAGGGTTCGAAGTCCCGACTGCATAGTTTGGTTCGCCAAACCCCTCGACAACAATTTTACTGTAGTACAGTAATCTTCCCACGCAACTTCATGGGATTTGTCCTTGCTCCTCGCCTGAGGTACGACCTTCTCGAAGTTCAAGTCGAACCGTCAGGCTCATTGCGCGGGATCTGCGATTTTCCGTCAGTTTGAAGCGTGATTTACTTGGAACAGTGCTAACTGGAAGCAACTGCTAGCTGAATCTCGTCGTGTCCACCCTGAGTTGGCCCCGAAGGAGGGGCTGGTCTGGATGCCAATAAAGCGATGTACTTTCGACCTGCATTTCAGTCACTCACAGTTCGATAAGCCTTCAAGCGTCGTTCGACTGATTTCACAATTCCAAGACACGAAGCACATCTAGTCGCTCCAGCAGAATCATTCTGAGCATGGGGGGCCGTAACGACGTGATGGTCGACGCTCAGCGTGCCGTGTCTTCCCAGCAATCACATGCTGTTCTAGCTACTATGTCTCAGAAGGATGACATTCCCTCCTTTCGACGCCTACACGACAGCCGCGCCGATCTCGATCTGCTCGCGCTGGAAGGCCGGCTCTCGTTTCTGGACGCACAGCGTGAACTCAACGCAATTCGGTGCGAACAGTTTGTTACCATGTTACAATCGTTCCTGAAGGAAGGCGAGAGTGACGAGGATGAATGGCGACATGACTCGAGGGAGTTGGGCAGAGAAAGGCCAATCGCGTCACATCTCAGCACAGCCACCCGCGCGCATTCAGTGCCAAAGATGGGCAGTCATAAAGGGCGTGGCAGAAGCCGCCGTAGCAGCAGCCATGGCGGTCGGGTTCTGAACCATGGTTCAGCCAGCCGCCTTACACGGTGGGCATCTTGCGAGCAAGGCTCGAACTGTGGTGTGGAGTGGTGAAGCTGTTGGTTTGGAAGTGATACTCGCACGGATTCCAAGGTGAAAATATTCTTCCTTGACTCAGTTTTCCCTTATCTTTTTTTATGGGGCTAATTTCATCAGATAAAATATGTCTGGTTCCTTTGTTTTATGCCCTGTATTTATATTTTATTAATCGTCAACAAAAACGTAATGATCAGTAAATACATTACATTCCACCTTTTTTTAATTTCTTTAGAAACACGTAACAAATGTCATCGCTACCAAGAAATATCCGCCTGTTAGTGCCAAGTGTAATGTAATGTTAGGCTGTTACATTTTAGGGTTTGGTACATGTTCCCCTCGTGTCAAGATAACATTAACAAAGGTTGATAATGCCTTAGCTTGGAAGCAGATGTCAAATGTTATATTTGGTTGATAAGCTATAACGAGTCCTACTATTGAGAGTACAACATTTCTAGGATTGCATATTTGTACCCAAGTTACCCAACTCTTAGCTAGTTCACTCATTCCGCTGTTGTGGTTCTAACATGGTATCATTGTAGTAGATTCGTTCCGCCTGCCCTACGCCCTACTGCATCTGCGCACAGTGCTGCCTCTGCGCGAGTGCTGCTAACTACTACTGCCCTCCTGTGCGAACGCCTGCCGCTGCTGTTCCGCTGCCCCACTGCCCCTGCTGTGCGCGCTGCTGCACGCTCCTGCAG